CAGTTGTAGAGTTTGAACTCTTAACCACCAAATTCTGCAGACTAGAAGTGGTGACAAATGAATGTATTGTAAAATCACAGAGAAAGGAGAGTCTGATTTCTTTCTTTGGGGAACAAGGCAAAGTCCCGAGACAGGTTTCACGGAGTAGCAGGTGGGGTTGTTCCAGGCCAGAGAAGGGAGGGGCGTCCAGGCAGAGGGGGTGGCGTGGGAAGGCGGAGGTGTGAACGCAGGACCCGAAAGTGAGCGGCTGAAAGATGTGGTCTGAGATTTGTGGAAGGTGTGATAGGTTAGTTCCATAGGGGAAATTACAGGTGAGTTAAGAAATTTGAACTCTATCCTGAAAAAAATATAACAGGCATTTGATGGAGTTTAATCAGAGAAAGAAAATTAGATCTTTATTTTTTAAAATATTCTAATAACATACAGAAAAACAGATCCAGCCAGAATAGAGAAGGTTGGTGGTTTCTTTTCCAAGGAGAAGTTAAGTCTTGGATGAACCTCAGATTCTGACATGAGTGACACTATTATCCTGGAAGTGATATAAATCCATTATAACCCTTCTAGAGAGTAATCTTCCCATATATATGAAGGGTCTTAAAAATGTCAGTGCTTTTATCTGAGTCATTTCATGTCTGGGAATTGGTATTAAGGAAACAACACAAAATGCAACATATGCCTTTAGAATGGCATTGATGATACTAGTTCAGAGCGCTTAAGACATCCTGGTGACATTGAATGAATGAGTGATTGAAGGATTGGTAGAAAATAGTGGAAACTTTGGAAACCACAATAGAAGAATGGTTAATATACATTCACAGGGTAGTTATGAATCCAATAATACTAATAATGGGGTCTGAAAACTATATAATTACATGAAAAAAATTTATGATTAACAAAAAAAGAGTAGAAAATGATACTTTGCTCTTACAGAATGATTTTAACTCAGACCTATGTTTAGATAAATGAGCTCGAAGGAAATACATTAAACCATAATGGTGGTGGTTTTGCCCATCTGCCATTTTTCCAATATTCTTCATTATACTTAATTTGTGTTTAAAATGGAAAAAGGTAGAAGCTTTGGGACTGCTAAATTTGGACTTCTGTTGGAGGGATCTGAAACATCAGAGTGACAACAAAGAGTAAACAATTAGAAATTGATGTTCAACTCTGGGTTTACACTTAGACCTTCGATAAATGTCAACTGAATGGTAGTTCTAACCATTTTCCTTCTTTTTAGTCAGAATCCTAGGATCCTATTGTAATGCATTAGAAGTTCTACCATCATTTGAACTTATATAGGCCCATATAATGGGGGAGAAAATTCTTCCTTTTCCAACTCCATATAGGTAAGGAGAGTCCCCTCCAAGCAGTTTGAGGGGACTCTCCTTACTTGTGCAAAAGTGATTTTAATCAGCCAGTCTCAAATAACATAGAGAATACTTTATTTCAAACATATATCATTTCATAAAGTTATTTTTTCCTCTTCAACAAAGGGGACATTGATTGCTCTCCTCAACGCCAGTATCATTTTTCTTACATAGCAACTCTTGGTGCAGGGTCCGTTCTTGCTCTTTTCAAATTTTTAATGAAATACAATCCGGAGGCATATTTAACTGATTGGATTTTGATGGAATTTTTATAATCCAGGTATTTCCTTTTTCTCTTGGATTTTGATTTTTTAATTTGTTAAAAAATCGCTATTGGTAAATATGTAAACTTCATATTGTTTCTACTTGTTTCAGAAGTAAGTCTGGATAATCTTTACCTTATTTTTTCCTTCTAATCCAGATCTTTTCTAATTGAAGGGTTTCAGATCACCAGTTGAGTATGTGTATGCCACGGAAGATGTGTTTTGGTTTAAGATTGCTTCTTTTGGGGTCCAGAGTCGTGTTTAGAAGAAAGGGTTGTATCTCACTGTCACTATAATAAATTGGAGACATGTTTAAAGTTGGGGTGGGGGTAACAAGAGGTGGTCTTTTTATTGTTTCTATGCCGTGAGGACCGTGACCAATCCCCCAGCACTCAGATTAGGACTTGAGATTGTGTCCGGCCCAAGGATCCGTGTACAAAAGGGAGTTCAAATTCACGCTTCACACTTGAGTGTGTAAGAGCACAGCACACCTCTCTAGCAGTCTTTGCACGCACAAAGAGTGGCAACGAGGAAGGAATGGTTAATCCTGAGGTTGCTGACTAGACCATGGAGGGTTTGGACCGTCATGTCATTCAGAGTGAACAAATAAGGCAGAAGCTCTGGTGATGTGTCACGATGTGTCATTTTCCTACCTGAAAAGAACTTCCCACCAACTGTTCACAATTTAGAGTTCCCACTGGGCCCGGCTCCATAAGAGTCTCTTTCATGAGTTATATGTATCTTACTTCATTGGCTTGAAAAATTATCCGTTTCCTGGCAGGTGTTTGATCAGTTCATCTGGTACCGCTAGTAGTAGGACCCACGTGAAAATGGAACACAGATAAGTTCACTGCACATATATGGCGACGTAAGAAGGGCTCAAGGGCTGGAGCAGAACCTCCAGATCAGGACTTACATGGACGGATCTAAGGCCAAGGCAGTGGAGGGAGGAGGGGCGTCGAGTTCAGTTCCACCAAGCACTTCCTACGTGGAAGTCAAAGAAGTGAGTGTCAGTAGAGACCAAAAGGAGGAAAAATACGATGTGGCCTTTTCACTCAGAGGAGTTAACCATTACAAACAATGTCTGGGAAAGAAAGAAGCCTAACATTCACGAGATGCTTACTGTGTGTTGGTACCATCTTAAGTGCCATGGGTGTGTCTCTGATTAATGCTGTCATCAACCCCCCGATGTAGGTCCAGTGACTGCATTCCTTTTACAGATCTTCAGAGTGAGACACAAGGGAACCCAAGCCTTTGAGACCCAGTCCCAGCATTCTGACTCCAGAGTCCTTGCTTTTAAGCATTGTTCTGTACTGCCCCCCAGACAAATTTTTTATATTTCAGGGCCCCCGGGGAAGGTGAAAGGAAAATGTGCGGGTGTGCCCAGCAGAGCACAGCACGTCTGTGATGCCGGATTTCTTCTCCCTCATGACCTGACATCGTGTAAACTGTGAAGTGTACAAAATCTTTTCGCTGGTGGTAACGATATTTGACCTAGGATAGCTTGGAAGACCCCACCCCACCCCAAGCCTAAGTGTTTAATCTGATCCTGAATATTCTTGGCTTGGGCTAATTGGACCTAAGGGATTTTTATTGTTGTTGTTAATGTTCTTCAGTCTCAGCCAAGAAAAATTTTATTTTTGGACTTGCTACCTGAAATGTAGGCAGCTGAGCGGAGTTACGTGGTGGCCTTTGATCCCATTGAAGAGTTCCAAAGTGGAGCTCAGATCTGTGGATGAAATGTGATATTAAAATAACACCAAGCTGAAGTCATAGGAGATTGCCGGGTAACGTATACGGTCAGAGTAACCAAGATTTAGGGGAAAATAAAACGAGTTTCAGTTGGCTTCATTTTCTCCCTCGCAGTTTTTCCCTTCACTCTTCAGTGATTCTTAACCCACCGCTTCATGTAGCAGGGACACAGCAGAACATAAAGTCTCTTAACTCCACTGTAGGGATTTTGAAGCTCTCAGAGCTTGATAAAAAGCCGCACCTTTTATCACTCAAGAAAACCCAGTGACAAATGCTGCTAACAGATTTGAATTTCTCGAAGTTCAAGTACAGCTCTGATGTCATCTTCCCACACTATTTTATATTCACGAAGTTTTGCTTCAGTTACATTTGGCCTTTTTTAAGGGAAACCGAAGCCAAAGACCTTGTGTTTGCAGGTGGACCGTGCTTCATCTGGGTCCGATTATTTTCTGAAGGGTGGTCAGTGGGCCTTTCTTTTCTGCCCTCTCACCAGCAGCCAGCCGTCAGCAAAGGGAGTAACTATTTCAGCTCCTACCCAGACAGTATTTCAACTTACTTACAGATCCATGTAGCAAGTGTTGATTGGATGCTTCCTGTGTGCCCAAGCAGGACCTGTACTAGTGTCTCCTTAAATTCCATGCCCTGTGCACCTCACTGGCCTCACCTGAATTCTGGCCTTGTGCCCAAGCACTGCAGGACAATGGGGTCACGGAGCTGATAAAGATACATATGTGGCCCTTATTCCCAGTACTGACAGTCCATTGGGGACGCATGGATGAACCATGGATTTGCTGTTACTGTCTCAGGCTCTGTAGATGAAGCCATGCTACACATTTTTTTCCATTTGAGTAAATAACTCAAAACAGGGTTAAAAAAAAGTAATTTGGAGATATGATTTCCTTTAAAATAGCTTACAGATTTTGCTGAAAAAATATGCAAATGCTCCTGTGTCAGACTCTCAGAACTACTAGCCTAGGGAAGAAATGTCATAAATGCTGTCATTTACCAACTGAATGGAAGGGTAAAACTCTCTTTTTTGTCTTAATAAAGAAATAATAACAAATGCAGAGGCAAACGTGTGTGGATCATGAGTGGACTTACCATCTCAATGCTTTAAAACTGTTTTCTTAAAATTAAAATTGCAGTCAAATAGTTATTTTGGAAAGGGAGAGTTAATTTCCCTTTTGGTTCCTAACTTAGCCTTTGGGGATTCACGCTGCAAAAATTCCCTTGTGATGATACTGAGATGGGAAACTAGATGCTGGAATTCATGTTTTAATGACTTAAGTTCTGCAACTCAACTTCTGAGCAAGCACAAAGCTTCTCCCTGCTTACTTTTTCTCTCTCTTCTTAATAAAGTCTGATATGGACTGTGGGAGAGCCACGCAGACTGTCCACTTGTTTGACTCTGTCCGTCCTGTACTGACTGTGGGTGCACAGATCTAGTATTTAGAAAGGCCATTTGGTCAAAGATGTTTATTGTCAGGGCCATGCTGGCCTTCGTTGTGTTACACACATTCTTCTGTTTTCAGTCAGTGGACTTCTTGAGATGTAAACAGTCCAGAAATAAGTTTCTGTTCCATTTTTTAATATTCTTTCTTATTTCTTCTTTTCACAGAGCAAAGAGATTGCATTCCAACTTCATGAGGATTTAATGAAGGTTCTTAATGAGCTCTACACGGTAAGCACATAATCTTTGTTTTGCAAAAATCATTGGTTTAGAATTCTTGTTTGCAGAAACATTTCCCTTATTAGAACTCATTCCAAGCTAGGGTGTGGATGGATGCTTGTCTGGTTGCAATGTGGAACCAAATGGATACACACACACTATTGTATTGTGTTGTTCTCTCAACGTGGGGGTAACTGTATTCAAAGAAATACGTATATGAAGTTAGAACACTTAAAGAACTTGGTGTATAGGTGTCCCCAAAAGAATGTTTTTAACTGGTTGGATTACGTATGATCTGTACGTACATTCAATTCCAGAATATTTTGTTTTAAATTGTTACCATTCAAAAATTAGCCATTCTGGGTCTTGAGCAATTTAGAGTTGCTTTATTCTGGTACATTAATGTCTGTTTTTCCCCCATTTCAGTTAAATTCTTTGTTTAGTGACTTACTATATTAAAAACTACTTTTTCTGGTGGGAGGGGTATCTATTTTTCCTTCTTGGCAATTGCTTTTCTGAACTTAAACTTTATTCAGATTACTGCAGATAATCATAAGAAACTAAATGACTATTTAAAAAAACAAAATCAGTGAGGTTGCAAATTGGAATTAGTCATATGTCTATGTAAATTTTGTTTTACACTTAACGATCATATTAAATACAAATTTCTTTTGGAGCAATTTGACGAGTTTTTATTTTATAAGAGAACAACAAAATGAGAATTGAGTAATATTAATTTGTTCTAACTATAGATATTTGCATTTTCATTGCAAAAGATTATTTGAATTCTTCTTTACAGGCAAATTAAACCTGAAACTTATTATTAAAATGTTTCTTGATTTACAGATTTATTTGTTCCTAAAAAGCATGTGTGTAAAATGCAAACATGTGAGTTAAATTCCTTTCAATGTTCTAATGATATTTGCTAATTAAAAGAACCTGTAGTTTTAAACGTTATAAAATGAATATTCTTTAAAAAATCACTTCCAGTTTTTTCCTGTGTGATCACATATGTGATAAATTTGTTTTTATGTGGCATGTTTGCTATACACCTGTGCTTTGAATTGGATTGATAATTTCTAAGTGTTAGTTCCTCCTTCAGAAACTTGTAACTTTACATTTAAAAGTCTCATGTTAGAAGGTCATATCCATCATGTAGAATTACCGAACAAAGTTGAGTTTTGGGTGACGATTGGCCCATGCTTTGTGTGGTTTGTTGATTTCTGATAACTGAAAGTATCAACCATTTCTAGAAATCCTGGATTTAGAATTTAAAAGCATGTGCGTCTTGAGACTTCCAAAGAAGAAATTCCCTGTCAACTTCCACTGAACTGTCTTAAGATGAGGGCTCCATGGCATTTTCCTTGAGGGCCCTTTGCTTGGGCACTGTTTCACCTAAAAATATAAGTCACTCTCTAATACTTTAAAAAAATAAATCTGCTGGTTGTCAGAGTGTCATAGACAAGAGCCTGTTGATTATACTCTGGAGCTAATAGTACTAGTCTGAGCAACAGTGGCAAAGACAAACTTGACTTTTGAGTACAAGAAAAGTGGGTAGGATGTCATGAAAAAAATTTTTTTTAATTTATTATTGTATTATTTAATTATTTAATTTTTAAGCAGGGGGAGAGGGAGGTAATTAGGTTTATTTATTTTTTAGAAAAGGTACTGGGGATTGAACCCAGGACCTTGTGCATGCTAAGCATGCACTTTACCACTTGAGCTACACCCTCCCCAGCTCGTGAAAATTTTATCTCAGTGAGAGATGTGTACAGAGAAACTTGTCCTGGATTCAGTTTATCAGGTGGCATTAGATGTCTAGGAGTCTCTATAGTTGAATCAGGTAAGTTGATATCTCCTCAAAACTCTCACCAGTATCAGTCTGAAAGCCTGAAGGAGCCGGGTTCTAGAAAAGGCCACCGGAGTTTGAGTAACCCTGTCAGTCACTGAATCTCTCAGAGTCAGTCGGGGAATTAAGGGGTAGAGGAGACAGGCAATGAGGTTTCAGTTAGGTAGATCACTGTGCGCTCCTGGAAGAACATTTTACTTTAATCAAAGAGCGTGCTCATTTGATGTCAGAGATCATGTTCCATGGGGAAAGACCTTCATGTTACACACACGCACATATACACTTTTAACTCTAAAAGATGATGGTGTTTGGTCTCTCTTGCACTTTAAATTCAGATACGTAATTTCTGCCTTGTTCAAATGAAATCTACCCATTACACATACTCAGTTTACATTCAGAAGGAAAGAAAAGGTGAGGAGTATTTGAACAAGGGACCAGGGGTTGGAGGAATATGGTTTAGGTTCTCTGTTCAACCACTGACTGGTCACAGGCAAATTGTCTTCTGAGTTGCATCATGCATAGAATTTTATACAACCAATGATGTAATAATGATTGTTGAAATAACGTATAAAATATGTAGCCTCAGGGAATGGAGGGTGCTATGTAATTGCCTTTTCAAACATTCACTCCTCCCTTGCTCTCACCCTTGATACTCTTTGGGAGTTGATGGTGAACATTTTGAGAAGTACGTTAACCTTCTTACTCAGTGGAATGTCTTGTATAAAATTGCAGTCAGCCTTGGTGGTGGGCAGTAGCCTTGTGTGTGGGCTTCCCTGCCCCCAAATAGTTCTCGCACAGGTCTGTTGGTTATTCCAAACATTCTGTCGGAAGACTTTGTCTTAAATAAAATACAAGGATGACTAGAAGGATATGCCTTATGATCATTTAAAACTTAAAGTGAACCAAGTTTTATCAGGTCCTTTGAGAACAGGTTGTATCCATGGAGCACGAAGTCCTAGACTTCGGAGCAGGAGGGAGAGGATGGCGGCATCTGAGTGCTGTCTGGAATGAGAGAAGAGGCTTCAAAGATAGGCGTCCCCTTGTCTATATTTTTGCCTCAACCTTGCCTTTATTGACAGGAACAGGGCCTCAAAAGTGGTTTTGAGCCTCCGTTTGGTTTCTTAAACTACCACAAGGGCTAGAATTAGTTGGACCTTGAGCAACAAGGGAACTCAGAATAATGGCATAAACAAAATAGAAGTTTATCATCTCGTTCACATAAAAGTTCAGAGATTGGCAGCTCAGGACTGGTATGGAGGTTAGATAAAGCCATCAAAGAATCGGGCTCCTCCTAACAACATTCAGAGAAACCTAATAGTATCTTTGTTCTCATGGTTCATGATAGTTGCTGGAGCTTCAACCGTTACATCTGCATTCTTGATATGGAGAAAGGAACCCTTGGTTCTATCCTCAGTACCCACCCCCAAAAAGATTAAAAAAAAACAAAACAGACCATGTCAGTTCCTCTCAAAGCATTTATATTCTAGGGAGGAGAAATGGACAGTAAACAAATAAATGTATAGTATGGCAGGTATAAGTGCTAGGAGGAAAAATAAAGCTGACTTAATACAGATCAAGCATTCAGAACAGTGTCTGGCACATAGTAAACACTTAAATGTACGTAGTGTCATTGTCATTGTTACCCTCTTCATCATCAGTGGGTGGGGGAGGGGATGGTAACAACTTGTCTGGCTCTCAGAGTAAAGTTGGAAATCAGGGATGGATCAACGGTAACTACAGGTGGTTTTTACATATATGTATGATGTTTCCTTGTTAAATGGATTATACATTACTTTTATACAAAAAAAAAGGAATGTAACTTCCTCTAGAAAAACCAAATCAATGGCAAGTGTGAACAGGGCTGTGACTGGGTTAGTGGAGAAGTGAAAAGGCGAAAACGGAAAAAGGGTGACATACAAAGTTAGAGGGAGCCTTGAAAACAAAATTTGCCTTCATCAGTCTGAGAAAGGGCTCATCACGCAGTTTGAGGTGTTAATAAGCCTGTCGCCTCCTACCAAAATCTCAAAAGGTGACGTTGTATTTTAGGAGAAGAACAATTATTTGTCCTATGTTAATATTTCTTTATATTGCCTAGGTTTTGCAGCATTATACTCGGCATTTTAAAAAAACAAGGCGCTTACAAGCCTCAGTAAGCAAATTCTGATAGAGATAAACACTGATGTCATGATAAAACTCTACATGAAATTGATTGTTGTATGTAATTGATGATCGTGCTCTCCATACACCAGTGACACACATGGCTGGCCAGAGTCAAGAGGTAATCCATCCTCAAGTTCCATTAAATGGAGAAGAACAAACCAAGAAAATGAGGATTTATCCATCTCTTACCCTGAGGTACACACAGGAAACCATTCATTTCTCACAGCAGCCCTGTGAGGCGGGTATTCCTAGTCCCCGGGTTACCACTGGGAGCTGGAGATCAGAATAATTAGCTCAGGATCACACAGATAGGAAATGAATGCTCCAAAATCTCAGCCCCATTCGGTCCCCAAGGGCCATCAGTGCCCCACGGGACAGCTGCCTTAGGGAAGGAGGTGCAGGACAGGTGAGGAGAAGGGTGGAGCCTGATCTAATAGACACAACACAGAGTAAAACTTACACTGCACCCTCTGATCACCACTTGTGAAAACTTGATTGAACTTTCCAGACTGTAAATGTGGCTTACAACATGGGCAGACCCAAAGGGCTTTGCACAGTCAGCTTTAATGTTAGGATGTGTTCATCTGGGGGTGCCTCTTTAAAACCTAGCCTTTCATGGAGCTCTGGTGTTATGTGTGTCAACATCACCCGTTCAGCTGTGTGTTCATACACAGTCATCAGTGCTAAGTTCCTATTTCTGGATATTCCATGCCCCTTTGTTTTCTTCCTTCTGAGCTCCAGCTCTGATCTGCCCAAGAAATGTAAATGGAGAGGGGAAGCTGTCCTGGTGGTGCAAAGCCAGAGGCTGGTGGGCCTCTTATGTAGGAGTTATTTGGAAAACGGGGTTGTTAATAGCACACAGATACCCACCTTGGCCTTTGCATATCTTTGAACCACTTTTCTGTTTAAAATGTGAAAATAAAAAGCTAATTATTCTTTAGAAGAGATGGGAGGGAACACACTGTTTATTATCCCAAGCTCTTCCTTGAAAACTCCACCTCAG